ATAATAGCTAAAAATCATTGCTAGGGACATCTGCTAGTGCATGCTCTAGGCATTCTGTGACAGATGATAGATATACAAACAGTGGGATCAATGGCTTATATAAGTAATTTACTAATCGCTTTAGCTGTTTTTAATTGAATCATTTTTGTAATTAATCACCGTTTTAAATTTTTAAAAAATTAACTATGCAAACTAAAATTTTTAAACTAATCTATTTTTAGAATAATTTTTTATAGTCAATAAATTACATTTTGCAAAGTCTTATTTCATGCACACTCTTCTAAATTTAAGTTCTGCATAAATCATGCCCACTCAGCAATATTTCACTAATTTTTTGTGTTATAATGGTTAACTGATTTTAACATTCTTATCAACAAGCCATCTTTAATTAAATAACAAAAAAACCATAATTGCATAAATTATGGAGAAATAAAACACTGCATGTTTTGGATATGAAATACCCAAAGGCATGCATTTTCTATATTATCTAGTGTACAAAAATGTCTAGTGTTCAGCAGTAGATAAGATAGTCAAAACATAGCTTTTTTCCATGTTTTATCATCAAATATGAACTTTAGTTTACTAAGATATTTGAATAAATAAGTTGAAAGCAGTATAAATAAAAATATTTATCCATCAANAATATTAATTTTTGTTTTCATTTTTGTTTTTTAATATATATACACTAATGTTTATATACATAGATATTTTCATTGCTAGTTAATTAAAATATAATATTACAGTTTAACTGTTTTCATTATACTGTAAATTAATAAAATTAAAACAGCAAAACTAACTTTTGAAAGTGGTAACTATGACCAAGAGAATGACATTGATAACTCTATACATCATATACACTGATCAAATTTTACTGCAGCTTATTGTACAAGTTTTTTACTCAAGTGTACAGGTACTGAATATAATTTTTTTTAATTAATGAGTATCCAATTAAAAATTACATGTGTACATGAAAAAACTCAAACAAGAAAAACAATTTGTTTATATAAAACTAGTAGCCTGGAACACCCCCAGTGGGTGTTCTAGTAGCATCGGTGTCATTCCGTGATATAAATAATATATCCTATTACAAATAAAAATAATAATATATACTTAAGTAAAAATAGTAAAACTAAGCATGGCCAACAGTTATTTATGTTTAATAAATATATGTATAACAAATATAAGTACAACTTTTAACAAAGATAAAAACCTTTGCTTTAGTTTTTTCTTCCGTCATTCACATCNCACATTTCGTGTGTTTTATGTGAGCAGTTCTGTTCGAACAGTTGGAGTAGAGAATATTGTAAGTTACTGCTAGCAAAACAATGCGAAATATGTAATTATTTTCGGTAATCCGGACACTTTTGGTAATCTGACACACCTTTGGTCCCATACCTGTTGGATTATCAAGGGACAACTGTAGTTAAGATCAATGTAAAATATACTTTTAAGTATGAATAATGTTAGATTATTATATCATATGATAATACTAATATTTTTCTAAGTTCCTAAGCTAATTAATTATTAAGAAGAAATATTTATTATTAGAAAAAAAAAACAGTTTCACTTCGACAAACAAGCAGCAACAAAACATCTTGCATTAATAAAATTAGAAATAATATTCAGAGATAGAAGAAAATAGAAGATAATTTTGATATTTGGAAAAGATTTAGTCATTTGAAATCCTTATCTATGCTGGTTTTGTATAATTTCTAAAATTTACATAGATAAAACATTTAATGAAACTAAATTTTAATGAATATTGAAAAATCAGTGAATTATAAATATAATTTTAAACTATATGAAAGAACAACAATTCTAAATACTATTCTTTCATATATTTATGATAATCTATTTGATAATAGTTTTTTCACTTGTCTATGGTTCTTTATTTATTTTCAGCAAGATCTTGAATGATACTGTTTCTCAAAGTACATCAAAATTTCAAGGAGAAAAAAATGACTGTACTTAAATAATCCATAATTATTGTTAATCTTATTGCAAATTCAAAAATAATAAATAAGTCTAAAAAAATCAATTATATAACTAAAAGATAATTTAATGAAAAGCCCTTATAATGATGAAAAAAATTATAAATATAAATTTTTTCAGAAGAAATACACAATTATTAATTAAAAGAAATTATTACATGTTTGCTGCCATTAAACCCATCTTGCATGTAGAGAGACGAACAAGATCCTGATGAATTATTTGCATTGAAGGCACTACTACTACTGCTAGGCTGTTCAGCTGTTGAAGACCAAACATTTGAAGGACAATTTTGACCATCTAATAAATTAACCTTTAAACATAAATAAATAAAATAAATTAAAATTAAATATTTTCAATCCAACCTTTCCTTAATATAATCAAATTTTTATAGAGAAATAATGTTTAGATATGAAAAATGCTTAAATAGTTCAGTTTATTTAGTAAATTTCAACATTAAAATTTCATAATTTTTTATTACTATAATGTAAAAAGTTGTAATTTATAAAAATAATTATAAATTTTTTTTAAAATGTCTAAACATAAGATATCATCTCTTGAAAACAGATTTAAAAATAAAATACAGATGAACTATTCACACTACTTATTAATTTTGTAACTTATTTTATGACAATTTGAATTTCTTTTTGTTTGTCTGATCATATGTATAGAAAATTTTCTACATATGATTATCTTTCTATTTTTTCTATTATTTTTTCATATGTTCAAAAAATTATTTGAATGGCTCAATCAAATCTATAAAATTTCTTCTTTATCCTTATCTATGCTGGTTTTGTATAATTTCTAAAATTTACATAGATAAAACATTTAATGAAACTAAATTTTAATGAATATTGAAAAATCAGTGAATTATAAATATAATTTTAAACTATATGAAAGAACAACAATTCTAAATACTATTCTTTCATATATTTATGATAATCTATTTGATAATAGTTTTTTCACTTGTCTATGGTTCTTTATTTATTTTCAGCAAGATCTTGAATGATACTGTTTCTCAAAGTACATCAAAATTTCAAGGAGAAAAAAATGACTGTACTTAAATAATCCATAATTATTGTTAATCTTATTGCAAATTCAAAAATAATAAATAAGTCTAAAAAAATCAATTATNGACTTTTTGACAATTTTTGACAAATTTCCTGACTTTTTGACAATTTTCGACAAATTCCCTGACTTTCCAAACACTAATGAAAATCCCTGACTTTCCAGGTGCGTAGGAACCCTGTGTTTAGTTTCATTAGTTTTGTAATTGGTTATCAAAAACTTGAAAATGAAATTTATACATGACACGTTGAAAAATGAAAAAATATTGAATTTGAATCCCCAATGCTGTAAAAACCCTTGTTACAAAAGCAATATATTTCAATTGCTGTGGTGGTGTTCATTTGTCCCAATTAAACACCACTATGTTGTCTATCACTCCCTAATAATATTCAGTGACCTGTATTTAAAGTTTAAAACTAACTTTTAACTTTGATTATCTCAAATATTCCAAAATTTGGAAGTAAAAGCAGTTACCAATTTATCCAACTTGGAATGTTTCTTGGTAAGATACAGTTTCATTTTAATTTTACAAAATTATAAATCCTACTTACTAAAATGATTTTGAACAGTATTCTGAGAAATAAATACTTTTGAATGCATTATCTACTCATTTTCTAATTTTACATATTTCCTTTATTATTTCTTTGAAAACTGAGTTACATATTCTGCCAGAAAAATTTATATATTCTATCATATTGATATTTTTCCTATTTTCATTTCAGCATTTTACACCTATTCCATCTTTAAATACCTGAGTATTCTAAATAATCTTAACTTTTCATAAAAATTATGTTTTCTTCAATAAATGTAATTACTCTCACTTTTAAATTGTGTAATAGCTATTTTACTTTTGCGTTAATTTCTACTTTAATGTCTATATATAGGCAGGATTAATGAGTATCATGTTTTCTAAATTAAAATACTGAATTTATAGAAATTAGTTTATTTGCATGATTCAAAGTGTCTCATCTTTAGATGTTTAAAAAATAAAAAATAAATTTCTAAGTTAAAATAATTTGTACAGTTTAATGAGAAATATAACATACTTTTCTTACAAACAAATATTAAATGCTTAAATATATAATTTCTGTTCACATTTATTGTTATATTTCAAACTTATCTGAATATTTGTGATGATTCTGAACTCTTTGTAAAAACTTACATAAACTAATTAACTGCTATAAAATAAAAGTTAAATATTGAGCAAAACAAAAGCATAACCAATAAACTAATTTTCTAATCAATCCTAGCTAAGTTTAAACTTCTAATAATTAGAAAATCATTAATTATTATGCCTTTGTATCTTAATTTAATATGTACTAATATACAACATAAATATTAAATTAGAAAATCACTTCTTTTATACCAAATTTAAATCTTCTGTCTACTTTAATATTTACATTTTAACTTTGTAATGCATTAATTTACTTCTTTATTTCATTTGATAAATAAAACTTAATATTATTACACTTGTTTAATATATTTCATTTTCTAAAGTATAAATTATTTAACATTATAATGTCAATGTTAAGAATAGTTTTGATTTAAAAAAAGAGAAAAGTAATCACATGCAAAATTTCAATAAGACAAATTTTCCCTTTAGAAACTAATTTATGTCAATGACTGTTCAAATACTGCTCTACTTTTTTTTTTATTTGTGGTTTTAGGCCCCTTACCACTCAGAGAGCACAAAGAGGCCAAAAATACTGCTCTACCACATTAGGTTTACTGTTGATCAGTGTTGATAATCTCTAAGCTGCAATTTTAGATCATAAACAAACTGTTACTAAAATTTGCCATGTTTTCTTTATAATATTTATGCATTTTAACATATATACATGTTAAAGTATTTTCAATTTTACTAAATATTTGTTGAAAATTTTGGTATAAAATAGAAAATATAATTTTTTAAAATTAATTATATCTTTTAATATAACTATCACCTGCTGATCCAAAGGTCAAATGATATCTACTATCTGGATTAAACTTCACACAACAAACATTAGCTTTTGCTTCTAGACTGGTTATGGAATGTTCCATTGATGTGGACCATAATTTTACTAAAAAAAATCATAAATACAAGAAATTAAGTATTTTATATAACAATGCCATTTTTAATCATAACTTAACTTTCTATTTAAAAAAGTTTAAAGTTAAGAAAATCTGTTAAAACATTTATTAAATTTAATTATAACAAAGGAAATGCATTGCTTAAAGATTGAAATTAATCTATATAAAGAAACTTAGTAGTGAATAATTCATAAACAAAGAAAAAATTTTACATTATTTACTAATGCATAAAATAAATTTAATGCTTAACAATCAACTACAAAACCTGAAATTTATGAAACCATGCAATAAATTGAAAAATAAAAATTAGAGAATATTCTTTATTTCAGTAATTATTTATTTGTAATAAAACCAATAAAAATAATTACTTCAAGGCTCTATTTGTAACGTGTGAAGTGAAATGATAATTTACATCATCTCAGATAAAGAAATTCAATGTAGATTTTAAGGTTAATTTTGTTTTTAAACAATTACCTCGAGCATCATCTGATCCAGAAGCTATTAATTTTGTATCAACTCTATTAAAATCGACACTCCAACACCTTTTTTCATGTTCCTGAAAAGTAATTAAGATTTAATATTTTAAAAATTAAAAAAAAATTATAATATATACATATAAGTAAAATAAATTTTTTAAAAATATATACATATAAGTAAACAGGCTCTTTTTCAAACAAATTTAATACTGCTGAAAAGCCTATACCTTCAAAAAGTGTGGTTAAATGGATAGAAACCAGTGAACACTGATAATAGTTGCAGGTTCACATCTTATAGATTTGGAGATGCTCATTCAGTTCATTTCAACATGGTGATGGTTAAAGAACAAATTTAAAATAAGTGTTATTTGTGAAGTTATAGTCAAATACTCAAAAACAAGCTGATTAACATGATGATAATTACAAAGATTAAGTAAATAATTAATTAAAGTATTAAAATTACTTGAGAAGCTAGATCACAATAATTAACACAATTAGAATTTTCAATAGCAGAACAAGATAGTAGGTTTTTGGAACTTGAATTAACTTGTTAATAGTAACATGAGCTGAGCTCATAAGAATTTGAGTAACTAGCACAAGCTCTTGGGAACAAAAACTTTTTGCAATAGTTCCCAATTCTTGGATTTGAATATTATTTCTGCTTGAATCACTTTGGATTAACTCACATTAAACTAGTAATTTGAATATTAAAATTAATTTTTGCTATAGTATCAAAAATAACTTTTACACAGTATGTAAAAGTGATTTTCATACTATAGTCAAATCCATTTAATGTCACACACCAGTTATTAACATAGAAATTTTTATCCCTGGCCAACTCTTGTAAGTAAACAATGGACTTTTCTTCAATGAATGCCACTCTATCTATTAGCACAAATTAGTTAATGTCAAGATATTTGTGTGCATAGTGGATTTAAGTATTCTATTTAATACCACAAAGTATGATCAGTGACATCTATTGACATTTTTTTAATTACAGTAGAGCGTCGTTTATCCGAAGGTCGGTTATCCGAAGGAATTCCAGTCGACAAATTTAAATTTTCACCAGTGCTGTGGCGCTGTAATCTTTGGCTATGTCTTCGGCTACTCAAATATTTTACGTTTTTGATACTAAATTAACTTCTGAAGTATAATTTTTTATTGTTTTTATATTTTTCAATATATTTA